AGAAAAAGAACTCGAGCTAATATCAATGTCAGGTCTGAATGTCATATGAACAGCTCCGTTGGAAACGTTTCAGAAAAAAAAAATATCGACATGTTGAATAGTTATTTCCCCCACTGTATCAGTCTCAAAGGCACAGTTACAGAAACGCTGTTATCCCATTCAGGAGCGCAGTAAGAGGGACGTGGCACTCTTCAGTGTCGTGATGACCAAGCTTAAACACAAACTCCACAGCCTTATACTACAGAAGTGTCTGGAAAACATGTCTGCAGCAAAGGATGAAGAGGCCAAGGAGGAAAGTCTCAGCTTCTTTTCTGTGAGCATCTTTTTTGAGCATCCTTCTATTGTTTCTTTTATTTTTTTCTACTTTTATCTTAAAGATAGTTCGGATAGGCCATGAGCTGTTGCTGTAATTTTCTGGATTGTTATCTTGAGATAACAAAATAAGTAACTTATTGTTCCAAGATAACAATTTTACCACAATTTTAACAATTGTTTCGAGATAACAAGATATATAACTAATTATCTCAAGATAACAACTTTTGTTGTCTCGAGATAACAAGATAAGTAACTTATTTCGAGATAATTTTGTTATCTTGAGATAAGATAGTAAACTTGTTATCCCAAAATAACAATCCAAAAAATTATAACTACCTCAAGGCATCTCAGGACTTCCGTATAAAGACAAACCTATAAAAGTTTTAATGTATCAAATCCTACCCAGTGATTGGTCCAAAGCAGTGTAAATTAAAGGGAACAAGAGCAATAATATCCCCATATTTAATTAAAACCCAAGTACAGGGCAAAAATACCCCCAAAATAATATGTGGCTGTTTACTGTAGGATAAGTGGTTATAAATCGATACAAAGGTATAAATCTTTATATATTAATGTCATTAAGAATTACTTCAACCTGCACTCCACCTGCTGACCTCAGGATAAACGCACTCATCCACAGATACAGGTGTAAGCAAAAGTTTAGACATCCCTGATCAAATTTTACGTGAAAAGAAGTTAGCACCACCTCTGCATAGAACAATGTTTATGTTTATTTGTCCTCTTCTTACTGTTATTCTATAGTCAAAAATCTGCAATCCTACTCCTACAGCTTTCGAGCTAGAGCCACAAAACTTTGCAGGATTGTAGATCCTATATCCAACCAGGGGTTTTTAAACGATTTAATGGTGTTTGTAACAGCATTCATTCAAACTTAATTTTTTTACATAGGAAAAAATGGAGGACGCACAGTATTCTGAAATTGACTCACTCCACTTATATGATATTTAATGATTGGCCAGATTTTTCGGACACTGCTCTTATTTCACCAATAGAAAGTACCCTATAAATAATGATTTTGTATATATATTTAGCCTATCACAATATCTATCTATATATCTATCTATCTATATATCTATATCTATATCTATATACATATATATATATATATATTCCCTGAATGAATGAATGCTCCTTGCATTATAGTGCATCGCCACTAGATGTCAGCATTGTCTAAACTTATCTCTGCATAGTAGGGAATTTTTAAAGTCATGGCATTACAGCTTACCAATGGCAACATGCTGTGATGTAATATTTATGGCAATGTAATATTTATCATCTGTAGAGAAAACAGTAATAGAGAAGCTGTAATCCATTGAAAGGTGACATGATGCCAGCGTGTCGCTGTCATTTCTCAGATGTAAACAGCTCCAGCAGTTAGAAGTGCAGTGCAATGTTTACTGCCTTTTCAAACAGTCCTGAATTCTACACTCCAGTGAGGAATGTTTGGTATACGGATGTTTGGTAAAGGGGATACTTCAGCACTTTCTAAACCTCGTCTCTATCTGCGTACTGTAAAACATTCGTCTGTAGAATTACAGTAATTATCTGGCAGCAGCGTCTCCAGTATAGTGCTGTTTATCTACACTACTGATACTGCACTTCACAATCACAGAGCATTGCTGTAATCCAAATACGCAGTTCATATGGTTTGTTTTTAATTTACAGAATTGATTCCACTGATTTTTCAAAATTTCTGCACAAATAAAGATGTAGACAGTCATTCAGGGTGGACTGGAGTGAAATGCTCAACAGTAATGTACTTGTTAGGGATTTTCCTCAGTGTTTCTGTAACGGAGAACACAAAGGCACAGACACTAGCAACCAATGGTTAGCAACCAATATATTGTGCAGCCCTCATTATAATGTGTATGTGTACATGTGCTCAGAAGGGGTGGGCGCTATATTATCATTATCATCATAAATTATACCATGATACCCCACAATAACCCACCATTAACAACCAGCTTATAATAACTGCATAATAACTGCTCTCTCTCTCTCTCTCTCTCTCTCTCTCTCTCTCTCTCTCTCTCTCTCTCCCTTCGAGGTATTATCCTCTTCCTTTATTTTCCTCGCTCTTTCTCTCTCTCCTTTTCTCTCTTTTTCTCCCTCTCCACCTTTCTTTCTCTGCCTTTCTCTTCCTTTATCTTACTGACCTCTCTCGCTTGCTCTCTCTCACTCTCTTCCCCCACTTTCTTTCTCATTCTTTTCCCCCTTTCCCCCCCCTATTTTATCTTGCTCTCTCTACCACCTCTCTCTCCCACCTCTCCCTTTCGTTGAATTATTATCTGCTTTACTCTCTCATTTTCTCTCCCCTTCCTTTCTCTGCCTTTCTCTTCCTTTATCTTACTGACCTCTCTCTCTCTCTCTCTCTCTCTCTCTCTCTCTCTCTCTCACTCACTCACTCTCTCTCTCTCCCACTTTCTTTCTCATTCTTTTTCTCCTTTTCCCTACTTTATCTTACTGTCTCTCCCATCTATTTCTCTCTCTCTCTCTCTCTCTCTCTTTTTCTCGCTCTCTCTGAAGGATTATCTTCTTCCTTCTTCCTTTATCTTTCTCCCTCTTGCACTCTCTCTCATTTTCTCTCCACCTTTCTTTCTCTGCCTTTCTCTTCCTTTATCTCTCTCTCTCTCTCTCTCTCTCTCTCTCTCTCTCTCTCTGTTATAGTTGAAGGAGTTGCATGATGGAGATCTGGTGAAGTCTGAATTTAAGAGCAGCAGCTGCCACCCTGGAATCTTCTGCTGCCCAGTGCACTGCCAACGTCTCTGGTCAATATCAGGTCAGTATCATCCGGTTAGTTAACCTTTACTTTATCTGAAACATGAGGAAACCTGCCTTTGATGCTCTGATTCGGTTTGTGCCCCAACGGACGATCAGGTATCCTCCACGAATGTCACTCTTCATAGTGCCCCAGGAGTCTCTTACAATAGGACTTAACCTCAAGGTCTCTCGGCCTGATGGAGCGTCCACTCTCGAGTGTTAATGACAGTAGGATCAGCCGGAGGCTGCCCGCTGTCCCTCTCTGTTGCTTTAGTGAGTATAACGTTACAGCGAACACGTCAGCATGAGCACAGAAATAACAGCGCAGGGCTTTGTCTTCATCCCTGTAAGACAAAAGACGAGTCCACAAACACCTGTTAGCGTCATCACTCAACCCAGAGGACCACAGCACCACTGCTCTACAGTCACACTGACCACTGAGGCCAGCACACTGACCAAACAAACACCAACAAGGCCAGCACACTGACCAAACAAACACCAACAAGGCCAGCACACTGACCATATAAACACCAACAAGGCCAGCACACTGACCATATAAACAAGACCAGCACACTGACCACACAAACACCAACAAGGCCAGCACACTGACTATATAAATAAGGCCAGCACACTGACCATATAAACATCAACAAGGGCAGCACACCGACCACATAAACACCAACAAGGCCAGCACACTGACCACATAAACACCAACAAGGCCAGCACACTGACCACATAAACACCAACAAGGCCAGCACACTGACCACATAAACACCAACAGAGCACAGTTTAGTTGGTGTGGCCTAGCTGTGTGTGATCATTCTCTTCATAATCATACTGTTCTAGAACACCTCCCATTCAGGCTGTTCTAGAATGTTCTCTTCCATTCACACTGTTCTAGAACGTCCTCCTCCCTACACACTGTTCTAGAATGTTCTACTCCCCACAAACTGTTCTAGAATGGTATCCTAAATTCAAACTGCTCTAGAATGTTTTCCTCCATACACACCGTTCTAGAACGTTCTTTGCCATTCACACTCGTCTAGAATGTCCTACTCCAGTTAAGATGTTTAGGAATGTTTTCCTCCATACACACAGTTCTAGAATGTTCTATTCCATTTACACTGTTCTAGAAAGTTCTGCCCCTTTCATGCTAGAATGTTCTCTATCCGTTCAAACTGTTCTAGAATGTTTTTCTCCACTCCCGCTGTTCTAGCTTGTCTCCCCACCCCTATTTACACTGAACTAGAACGTCCCCTGCCCCGATTTACTCTGGTCTTTTAGTACCGCTCTAGATTTTAGATTTTCCCTTATACGGAAATTACCCCATGCCTACTTTTCAAAATGCTACATTCATTCTATGGTTAAGCTACAGCTCTGTATGATTTTGGTTATTTTAAAACTATTTTCATGATTATGCTACACCCATTTCCATGGTTACGTTACAGCTATTTTCATGATTTTGTAACACCGTGCATGGTTACGATACACCGGTGTAGTTTAATCTAGTTTAAATTTCTATTGTTATTCTACAACTACAACTATTTTCATGGTTTTGCTGCAGCTATTTTCATAATTTTGTTACAAATATTTTTGTCGTAACGCTAAAATTTCCATAGTTACACCACAGCTATTTTCATGATTACATCACACCCATTTCCATGGTAACGCTACAGCTATTTCCACAATTTCGCTACACCAATTTCCATGATTATGCTACAGCTATTTCCATGGTTACCCTACACACATTTCCACGGTTACACTCCAGTTTTCTTAATGTTACACTACACCCATCTCCATGGTTACATTACAGCTCTTTCTATGGTTACGGTAATAACAAATTCTGAATAGACACGATGGCTGAAGGCTATTAAGGTCAAGATGATGAGCCAAAGAAATTTATGTGAAATTAATTTTATTTGATTTTCAAAACAGAAAAAGAAGAGAAGAGACATGTTGTTTCATGAGAAGATAATCCATTCCATCAGCACTCACTTCAGTAATGTTACAGCTTTCTAGATATACATTATCAGATAAATAGAAACATGAGAGGAAAAATCAAAAGATAAAATAAAGCCAAATGTGCAAAAGCTGTTTATTTTACAAGCAAAGAATCATGATTATATATAAAAACAACACATCATTTTGCAGGGACTTTTTGGCTCTTGTCCTCTATTCTGGATGAGCTGAAGAAAACCTTACAGCCATTAGCAGAATCAGCAGTTGGTGAGGGGGCAGCGGTCAGTGGCAGGACGAAACAGGCCGAAGCTTTACTCCTGGTCCTTTTCCTCTCCGTGGGTGATGATGTGGACCAAGTTCTTGTAGTCGAGGTTGCCTGAAACATCTGGGGGGAAGGCGGTGAACATCTGCTCTATCTGATGATGAAGATGATAAAGAAGATAAAGATTTATTATTTCACATAAACACACTGCCAAACATGTATCACCACTGCAGCAGGAGAAAAGTAAACTTTGTTCCTGTTGTCATTTGCTATTGATTTGTGATAGATTATTGTTTTTATGTGGTATTTAAAAGGTTATTAGACACCCAGATGCCGACCAGTTCCTGTGACTTTTTTCCTGGTAGTAAACAGTTTAAACTTTTAACTGTCGCCCCATTTTTGACTGAAACAGCATACCCAAAGTGAAAGGAGCACTGCTCCCACATACTTTGAGCGACAGATGTGATCTTGGCCTCATTTGAAAAGGAACACTCTCAAGTCAGAATAATGGCGTGGATTATTGACACAGAGTAACAGGGGCTAGTTTATTTCTGTCTGACTCATAAATCTCTAAACTGATTTCTGTTATCAAGGCCACATGTTTTGGATTATAGTCTCTGTGGAGAGCGGCAAGGCTTTGAAGATAAGAACCCACAGATTTGCTGGGCTTTGCTCATTTGGTGCTAATGTTGCAAAAGAGATGATCATAACCGCTGTAAATAACTGATCATAAAATAGTTTGCGGGAATCAAATCCTGATAAAAATGATGAGTCAAAACTGGAAGTGTGCCTTTACCAGTACAGCGATCTAGAAAGGTTAAACCATTTAAACCACATGTGTCAGGCTCCAGTCCTCATAGGACAAAACACTGCAGACTTCAGCACCCTGCCTCATTAAACACACCTGATTTAGCTCATCAGCTAATTAGACCTTCACTGAATTCAGAGCGTTAGATGAGGGTAAATGTTAATCTCTGCAGCACTTTGGCCTGGAATGTCCCCAGTTTCACATGGTTGGTTTAAGCCATTGTGCTTGTTTTAACCATCTTTTTACCCAAATTAATGCAATCACTCTGTTTGCATCTATCTACAAGCTTTTGTTCTTGTTCTTTTGTTCTTGTTCTTTGTTCTTCATGTTCTGTTACATGATCTCCAGGATAAAGAATAAGTATAAATGTAGGCTTCAATTTGAGTCTGACATGATATAGATGTGTCTCAAAACCAAGGATGTAGGCAGCATTTATCGGCCGCTGTGTTCCTGAAGCCTGACCCATTTTGTAGGATCCTTCAAATGCAGCTGAGAAACCCACCTTCATTCCTAACAATTCAAGGGAATCAGATGATGGATCCTTCCAGACCTTCAAACTGCCCATATTGATTAACGCGCACCACAGGTTCTTGAAAACCATTTGAAAAATGGTGGAAACATTGGCGATGCTGCCGCGCCAGATTTGATAGTTAAATGCAAGTTGTATACACAGTCATTGTGAAATAAATAAACCATGCTGGTAGCATATAGTAGTTTGTGAAGAATATAACAGGAAGCATATCTATTCTTTGCTCCCTGGGTCCTACATTCCCTCAAGCTTTTATATAATACATCAGATCTCAATATGATAAGTTGTGGAAATGCCAAGATGGCAAGGAAACATTAAAAAGCGTTGATTAAGGTCATGGTTAGGCTCACCAAAAGTCATAAAGAGGTCAAGATTTTTCAGTAGACAGCTAGACAGGCCTCAGTGAACTTAGGAGCAATTTAGCTTATTGTCTGAGCGTTGCAGACACGACCTCATACTACTCACCTATATTAGAACTATGGGCCTCATTCACCAAAATCCTCCTAAGTTTGTCCTTAAATTTGTTCTTGATAAAGATCCTAAGAAAAAAGTCTATGTCGGATCCATGACACCTTGTTAAACCACAGAACTGTTCACACCTTTGTGCTCTTGAGTGTGTGTAGATTCTGTTATTACCTAAGAATAAATCCTGAATAAGAAAACACTGGTGAGTGTCAGAATCTTTGTGAAAATTGCATGAGTGGGTTTTAAGAAGAAATGTCTTATTAAGATGGTTGGTGAATGAGGCCCCTTGACACAATGTTGGGTATACTGGTGTTATTCACATTGCTTACTGTAGTAAGACATGCCACCTTGTTACAGCCTAAGGCCGGCTTGATTAGGTGTGACCAAGCAATGAAGAGAATCCCTCATATGCCGTACTAGCAAGGGCTCTCTGACGTCAGCTGCTGCCTTGGCTTTTAAACACCACTAATATCTTGGAACTCCTCTCAGAATTCCTTCATTCTTGGACACTGCTATCTATATACAGTGGCTTTATAGGCCTTCTCGGCACCACATCTTGGACAATGGTCTTGTCTTACCTCATCTTTCGAGAACCTGTCAGCCTGTGTGGTCAGCATCTCAGTAATACTAGAAATAACACAGGAATACAGACAAGAAGAGTTTTCATTAGAAGACTCCCCAACCGGTATTTCAAATGGATAAATTCTACAAACAACAGACACCACTACTCACTACTCCTTCCGCAGGACACCTTTCCCCTCGGGGTCAAAGACTTTGAAGGCATTGAGGATGGTCTCCTCTGGATCAGCTCCTGCAGGGTTTACAGCTCAGTGTTTATGGATCATTACAATCTCTCGTTATTGACAGAAAGACTACTGGACTGAAAAAAGTGGTGCATCGAGTCGTCTTGATTCAAATGTGTACTTTATTAATACTTGGGAAAATTAAGTACACAATTAAATCAAGCAAATCCATCACTCTTTCTGTATCTCGATTGCTTACCCTTAAGCTTCTCTCCAAACATGGTGAGGAACACGGTGAAGTTGATGGGTCCAGAGGCTTCTTTCAGCATCTCGTCGATCTCCTCCTGCTTTACATTGAGGCGCCCTGTTATTCCAGAAAGAACAAGAAAATGGGGACCACTGGTATTTGTGGTGTTGTGTAAATGATACTTTGGGATTGTTTCAGTTTTTTGATTTGCTGAAGGGCCCATGTCAGAACAAATTTTCATATAATGTAGTGTCTAAAAACAACTAAAACATCTCCAAACTTACTATTCACTCCCCAGTCCATATATTGAAAAACAAGCATTTTAATACAGTTTTATACAAAAATGTAAACAACTCTGGTCAAACGACATATTATGTTGGTTTTATAAGTGAAAGTAACTTAACACATTCCCTACAAGGCACAAACTTAACGGACATAGGGCATTCTTCTGCAAATATTAGCGCACTAACTCTGTTTATTTGAAAAAAACAAAATATAAAATGTGATATAACTTCTGGACACATTTTGTGTTCAATTCAGCAAAGAAACAGCAATTGTGCATTAAAATGTGCAGAACTGCACCCAAACGTTTGCATATGGCTGTACGTTGCCTATTCAGCCTACAGCAGTTTAGCTCCGCCCACTCACACTGAAGTTCTACAGAGTACTACCTTTTGAATGCAGCAGAGTACAGGGCAGCCAATCAGAACAGAGCTCAGTATATGGGCACTATAAGTTAAAGGACTACTCCAGCACTTTTCAAATGAATGAAAGGCCTATGTATCAGACTGAGATATCTATTTTCTCTTGTTGAGATTTCTGTCCTCAGTCTGTTGAGAAACTTGCCTAAACCAACCTAGAGCTGCAAAGGTGTCCCTCAGGTCATTTTTGTCAATGAAGCCATCTCTGTTCTGGTCCATGATGGTGAAAGCCTGCCAACACAAAGACAAACAAGCTCTTCAGACCTTGGTGGCTACGATTCTATGACATTTGAAGGAATATTCCAGTGTTTTTCAACCTGTCCGCCAGATGTGTACCACACTGTCCATTAACATGGACAATTAAAATGGACGATTGAGTTCATACGGTCCATATACTGCAACAAGGTTGCAAATAACCATGTTAACTAATACTTTTACGTATGTCCACCTATTCAGCCTATAGCAGTTTAGTTCCGGCCAATCTTGCTGAACCTATAAGGAGAATTTCAGCCCAGGCAGATTTTTGGATGAGGCATAATATATGACAGCTAAACAGAACAGAGGTCTTTTACATATTTAATTCCTAAAGGTACAGTATAAAAACAGTCTGATGTATGTGAGAGATAAAGAAAACTTGAAAAAAAATGGTCATGCAAAATGCATTATGACTGTTTTGGGTGCATAAACCTACACAAACATCATAAACGGTGCTCAGGGGAAAGATAAATGACAAAAAAAATGTACAATATGGGCCCTTTAAAGCACACTTACAATACAAGTCAATGGGCAGTTGCTTCAGCACCCATTGCCCTCCAATATAGTCTTTCAACTGTTTTTTCCTTGCTGAGTCAGAATTGTTTACAGTGGTGGTGATAGGAACCAGACATCTGAAGGGTTTAATGCCTCTCAAAGCTCCCTCACAGAAAGGTATTGTGTGAAATGGTTACAAACACACTATCTTGTTCTTGAGGCATTGTTTGACGTTAGTTTCGAGATAAGATTTTGGGGCTGAAACGTATTTTCCAAACCCATTCATGGTGGAGAGGCGCATGCAGGGTGCTGTAAGGCAAAAAACTACCGCAAATAAACATTGTTGCTTTTATATTTACTGCTATTTTACTATAATCAGCATTACATACAAAACTCAGAAGACACATGCAGGTTCACTGGTGGTTTTGGATAGTAAATAAAGTGTGTGGCTGGTTCCTATCACCATCACTGTAAAAAAGTCAGAGTCAGTCAGTTTCTCCACGATGAACCATTTCATATCAAACCACTCTGAATGACTCTGTTAATATCTCAATGATTGAATTTTACTGAAATTTTGAAAAATCGGTGGAATTCCCCTTTAAGACAGCAAAAGTGTATGTAACTGTGAAATAAGGAACTGCTGAAATATATCATTCATTTCCCTGCCGTTACTATTACAGAGCATTTCATTTTCTCTGATCTCTTGGACAGACCGAGCAGTGCTATCATTCCATCCCGTGTGTAATCACTGCTGACAGGCTTTGGAGATTTACGAGGGTGTCACCCTTCACCACCCAGAGCATGCCGCAAAAGGAACATGCTCTACATACCACACAGAGACTAACAGAGAGACTGTCAATGGCACGGACAGAGAGATATTGCAGGGGGTGGCAGGTCACAGTCACCAAGAGGGAAATGATGGATGAAAGGAGGGATGTGAGGCCGAGAAAGACAGAGAAAGTGAAAAGGAGGTGGGAAAATTCTGACCTCTTTGAATTCCTGGATCTGAGCTTGTTCAAACATGGAGAAGACGTTGGAGTTGGCGCCCTCTGCTGCCCGCTTCTTTGCCTTTTTCGGTGCCTGTAGATGAGATTTTAGAGATGTGCTTCAGAGTAGCCCGCTAGAAAAATACAGCATAGACCACCATAGCTGATCACCAGCTGAACCAGTTGTGTTTTGGATGCTGGTATGCTGGTCAGCAGCAATGGAAGTTATTAGGCTGGGCACCACCAAAACCAGCATATCTTGTGTTTTGGATGCTGGTATGCTGGTCAACCAGCATAAACATTGCTTGGTGACCAGCTAAACCATCACCTGACCAGCATAAACCAGCTTAAACCAGTTTAGATCAGCTTGGAATGTTTTTTCAGCAGAATATCATGGCAAATAATAAACACTGTAGAAACTTCCTTATGTTAGCTAACACATTTAGCGACAACACAACAGTATACGCAACACCAAAAAACGAAGAGAACAAAAAATCAAAACGTTCTCAGGCACAACATAATTATTTCTCATATAACAGTAAAAATATAACAGTGTTCAATGCAGAAATCTTCTTAACTAGTTTTTCCTCATCAATTTGCCACCACAACGATAATGCTAATTTCCACTAGCGCCTCTATGTGATTTCCGGTTGTGTTAGTGTCAAGCTAATGGTGCTGCACATTCGTTTTCCCACACTGGGTTTAACAGTACTTAGGTTAGAATTTACCACAAAGTTCAGACATTTTAAACATGTAAGACATTCAAATAACACATTATTTACTTTTTATGTTGTAGTTTTGCAGTGAATCATTCAGTAAACAGTTAATAACAATATGAGAGGTTTAGCCTGCTAGCTGTCTTTTAGCCTCTTTAGTCTGCTATCTTTTAGCGTAGTTAAGTAAAAAGTTTTTTGGCAGGACCTTAGTTTAAAAAAAGCCTAACAGTCCACAGAATAATGGCTGTTAGTGACTTGGCACATTAAAGGGCCCATATCCCATAAAACCCAATTTTCCTTGCTTTTTTTAAATAAAAGTTTTTGAAGTAGTATACAATCATTGTTAAAGTTTCAAAATATACCATTCACTCCCAAGTCCATACAAACCTACATAAAAACTATGCTGTGCAATAACTCTCTCTCGGTGATGTCACAAAAACACAACATAATTACATACATCCACCTATCTGTTCTACAACAGTTTAGGTCTGCCTGTTTACGTGAAAGTTATAAGATATAAGACATGTTTTAGCTTGGACTCTTTTTTGAATGAGGCACATTACAGGGCAGCCAATCAATGCAGAGATAATTTACATATTGTCTTAAAGTCATAGTAAAAAACAGCATGTGTGATTCTAAAGGATAAAGAGAGGTTGGAAAATGGTCATTTAAAAATGGGTCATTAAAAATTAGGATATGGGCCCTTTAATACAGAATTCAGTTGTTGTGAGGCAGACATAGATGTGTGCATACTGAGTATTTCATGATGGCTTCGAACGTGGCTCAGCCAATTAGATTTTAGGACCAAAATCTGTTTTCTAAATTCACTCTTATACCAGTATATCTCCGATGCCTTTAAAAAAAGTCCTTAAGATGCCAACTTTACAACTTTTTTAATGTACTTGCCCAAGAATTCCACCTCAGTTTGTAGTTTGCCTCAATGTACTTTACATTAAAAGAACAGTCCAGTGTTTTTCAATCTGATCTATATCTGCTACAACTGCATCATAAAGGTAAACACATCAAAATTATTGTCTGTGGTAAATGACTGAATGCTACAGATGCAACAGGTAAAGCTTAGGTTGATAAACACTGTAGTATTCCTTTAATCAGCTAAACAGTATATGGTAACCAACTATCTGTACCTTTGTTCTCCTCTTGTCTTATTCTTTTTCTTACACTACTGTCCATTTCCATCCTAAATTCAGCTGACAGACCCATGCATCACATTGGCTTGGCCAGTTGGCCACTCACCATGACTGTAGCTGGGCGGAGGCTGGTAGAACAATGAGGGATTCCCAAAATGCAGCTGGACAATGGGGCGCAGACGGAAGGTCTTATGTAGCCCCGCCATGTCCCTCTCTACTGGACGATATAAATAACCCATGTCCTCTTTAGGAAGTGACAGGTAAATGATGACCCCCACACTATGCCCTCCTGTCTCCCCTCCTTTCGTAAAACCCCAGGCTCTTGGGGTTGGGACAACAGTGGTTTAGAATAACAGGATACCAGGCTTTGGAGATTAATAAGAGGACCCTGGGGAGATTCGGGATTGCTCCCTTCATGTCTAGCCAGTCTCCTGTCTAAGTCTGACAGTTTTATGAAGTCAAAACAGACCCTGTGGACCCTCCAAAGGAATCTTTTCAAGTAGGGCTTTGGGCTGGAAGAGCAATACTGTTCAGACCTGATCACCCTGCTAGAAGAACCAGCATAGACCAGATTAGCTGGTCATCAACTCAACCAGCATATGTTGTAGTCAGCGTGCTGGTCAGCAGGCTGGTCACCAGCAAAACCAGCATATTTTTGTTTAGGATGCTGGTATACTGGTCAACCAGCATGACCTTGCTGGGTGACCAGCTTAACCAGAACCAGACCTGCATAAACCAACATAAACCAGCTTAGACCGGCTAAGAATTTGTGTTGGTCTGTGCAGGCCTTTTTAGCTGGGCAACTAAGCTTACAGACTAAACATAAAATATAAGCCCTTCATTGGTCAGTTTTTTAGACTATTTAGTAATTTACTTCATCCTTCTGGGTTGCAAACTCCCTTTGACAACAGTCACCTACTTGTGGTTACATATGAAGCTATTATTCTGGCACATTTCATTAAATCATGGCAAAAACCCACCATCATGGTCTCCTTTGCTGCTCATGTAATTAGCTAGCTAGTTTATCTAGTTTGCTCTGGCTCGCAAAGCATAGAGCTTTTTCTGTTTACAGCACTGTCAAATATGAGACATGTTAAATGTTAATATTCACCACTATAATTTTAGTCTTTAAAAAAATGTAAACAGGAATTGAATTATTATAATTCCTGGAGGCTAATTCCTTGAGTTTCAAGGCTAATCCTTGAGAGTACCCTTATGTAAGTTGTAAGCTAATCATTGGGGGTACCCTTGTGTAGGTTGTAAGCTGATAAGGGTGTCAAGCTGAAATCTTTTAAGATAAAGTCAAATGAATTCAAGAACTGTGAAACGACACAAATTAGTTAGTGCTAGCTACTTTACTCCTGTCAGCATGTTAGCATGTCTGCTGTTAGCACAAGCTTCTCACAGCCAGGCAAACTAGGGCGCTTAGCTAATGTTTTCATAGTAAATCATTATAGTTCTTTTTTCCAACACAGTAGTGGCATTACCAACGCCTAAAAACCAGCTTAAAGCACCATGAATTCCATGCTGGTCTAAACTGGTTTATGCTTTTCTAATCACTCATCATGGTCATGCTAGCATGCTAGCATTCAAAACACAACATATGCTTGTTTTGCTTGTGATCAGCATAGCAGCTACCATTGCTGCTGACCAGCATACAAAACCTTGTATCTTCAGAATGGTAACTTTATAGGAGATGGAAAAACTAGTAGAAGGGAAACTTTCTTAACTTGTAATAGAAGTAAATTTGAAGCATTTCCTTTGGTCTGTTCATGATAAAATTCAAGGGTTTTGCACAAAAACGACAATATGTTGGTTTTACTGGTAAACAGTTATGCTGGTCTGTACTTTTTTTTTCTAGTAAGGGCAGTGTAACTCACCACAAAAGATTACTTCATTAAAATGTCCTGTATTACACTATCTAAATGTCTATATTATTTATCTTCCTTTCTAGGTACCAGCACTGTTTCTGGCAGTACCTTAGCTCGGAGTAGCTTGGACCCTAACCTATTTGTACAAGCTAGGATTCATTCTCTAGTTGGGCAATAAAGCACTTCTGTGAGTCATTCTGAATAAGAGAGTCTGCTAAATGTAGTAAACGTGAATCTTACACTGGCCTACGACCTGTATTACTGTATACAAGTTAGAATAGTGGTTAACATAGAATAAAATCAATGGTTTTTAGCCTAAGCCTAAAATGATAGTTTCATTATGTCATGATGCCTCTACAGTCTACTTTCTCTCATTGTATTCTCATACTTATCTCCAGCTGTCTTAAGTGAGTTATTCCCAGTTTCAGACTCAAATAGCTACTGATGCTTTGCATGCCACGCAGTACTAGTGTACATGTGTGTACGTAACAGTCTGGAAGCAGAAGGCGAAGGGGATCAAACTACTATTAATACTCAGACAAATGGAGCCATTGTTATACAGTAGATGGGATGGGGGGTGGGGTGTGAGCCCCAGCCAATGTCACATATGCCAAAACAATTCACTGAATAGGACTAACTCCAACTGCAAATTATCGGGACAGCCCTGTGGCTATTTCAGATATCATCACAGTGATTGGACTGGAATGCCTTAGTCCACTCTTTATAGGCCTGCTATATAACTTAATTTGTTTAAGTGTTATAATGGGTAAGTGTTATGGATAACTATTCCTTTAATCATAAACTTTCAGCAAGGTTTATAGCACGAGTATATGAGATGTAGTGTTGTATGAAGTATTGAAAGTTACTTTTGCAATACTACAAAACGGTAAACAACTCAGTACTCAAACTCTCAATACTATAAATTCTTTATTTAAAGGACACATATCATGGAAAAACATGTTTTCCACTGTTTTTTTCCACTATTTTTTACATACTTGATGTTGTATATAAAATAAAAAGTTTCAAAGCATACCATTTACTACCCCAGTCCATGCTTTCCATACTGTCCATATATAGAACTAAGTAAAATGGCCCATTTTGATTTTTTTTTATGAAAAAAACCATGTCTACATACATTGGCATATTCAGCCTACAGCAGTTTAGCCCCACCCAATCAGTCTGAAATTATGAGTGTTTTAGCCCAGCAAGCAATCAAAAGTGAGTAAATTTACACATATCAGTCTTAAGGGCACAGTCACGGCCGTAACTAACTATGATGACACTGAGGTCTGGACCTTGGTAGACTCAGAAGGGTTGTTTACATATCTCCATTTATGAGATATAATATTAAAACAGCGGCATTCTGATAATGCAATAGCCTACGCAGAGGCAAAGCCGCAGGTATCACAGGCCTACCCAATCAAATGAGGATAGAATATGTATTAAACTGCATTTTTTAAGATCTGTGTTTTCTATGATTGCTGTCACTGTATTATGGCCAATCAAAACCATTACGCTCTCTGACAAGCTCCACCTTGTTTTCTTAGCCCTCCAATCACCATTGCTATCTGCCATTGCTTCAAGCCCTCAGTTCATTATCAGCACCCATCATGTCTGTAACTGACATGATGACACCAAGGTCCTCAGGTAAAAAGGGAAAAAACAACCTCTGAAGTTTCTGAAGGGTTTCAATAAGTTGTAGAAACAGTGATGAGACTGTTCAATCAGGTAGTGAATCTCAGAACAGCTGTGCTTTGGTCACAGACGTAACAGCCCCACTATGTTTATCTCTGTACAAGATGCTATGTTAACGCTACCCTGAGTGACTTTGACTTCTTGAGATGTTCAGGTATGCAGCAGACACACTACAGACTAACATACACAGCTATAATGTAAATGTGAGAATTTTTGAGTGTAACTCACAGATTATGCTTGTAAAATGCAAACCCAATAATTAATTTTTTGGACCACTTGTAAAATTACTAGCTAAATGAACATGCTTTAGTCTACCTCCATCTGCTCCATTTAGGCTGCAAGCTTGGTAGTTGCTCATATTAGTGATTAGATGAAAAATAAACATAACAATTATAAATGGGTGAAAAAGGAACAATGATTTGGTAAAAAATAAGATACATTGGCAGTTCAATCAGTATTCAGCAGTCATTTTATTTACTATGTGGTGTAGGTCACTTTCCGGCAAAATGGACCTCACTAAAATTTTGATCCTAGTTATGGCCAAGGGCACAAGTAACAAAAACAAGCTGTTTCATTGTAAGGCTTAAAGAGAGGTCAGACAGTGGTACTTTGCTGTGTTCAGTATTACACATTATACTGTGATAACCTTAGATGTGCTGAAGGAATATTCAAAAAGTGCTTAAAAATGAAGGAAACTAATAGATATAGGTGTAAAAGAGTTTCAGAAGAATACTTGAGGCCAAAACATGCAGAATGCCATTAGCTTTTTTGTCAGTATGTGTCCTATTAGCAAGGAAAGTCATTAGTTCATGATTTATAAGTGGTCAATCATTTTTGTGTTTTTCACGTATCATTTTGTATTTAAATGCAATCTTTTAATTTGTAAACATCTCACACAAAAGTGAAAAACAGGCATTTAATGGTTTAATAGGCCTATTTTATATGTGAATTACATTTTGCAAACTATTTAGCATCACAGTTTTGAAGGGTTTTAAACCTTTTTTTAATCACCAAGTGACATATATAATAATTGTAATATAACAACCAATCATTTATTATAACTGTGGGGAGGAATGACCCCCAAACTTGCTCTTCACCGTCTTAATGTTTACATTTATCTTGCAGGTCACCCTTGGTTTTGGTTGCCATAGCAACGTAACTGGGGAAAATCAATATAGCTGACACAGAAGCACTGCCATCAATCTTTTCATTGCAGTCAATAGGATCCATGCAATCAATGCAGCCATGTTGCCCAGAATGTACAAGGAGACAAAACAGACGGCTGCTTAGAACATTTCAGACAAAACAAACTGATAAACCTGCAGTTTGTAACCCACAGTAAATTTACCCTTATTTGACCAGTTTTAATGTACAGCCTGTATAATCCCCATCAGAGACAGAATAGCAACACATACGGGCATCTGTGAAATTAAACATTTATGAGTTTTCTTGTCAATATCACATTAATGGCCTGGAACAGGCAGATGTATGCATGAGCTCATTTTGCTATCAGAGTCTCATAGTGGCATTGAAAGCTACTATGTATTAAACCTTATTAAATATATTGTGTATTAAGGCATGTAGCATTACACTGTGTAAGAGAGAGAGAGAGAGAG